GAATTTAAAAATGCAAGCAGAATTAAAACAGAATTATGCTACAACTAACAGAATACAAAGTTTCAATAGACTTACGACGAGTGTAAATATCCACCAGGAATAAACTTCTAGTGAAGAATATAAAAGTACAAGCAGAATTTAAACAGAATTCTGGTTTCATAAGCAGAATGCAAACTTTCGATAAGTATACCAGAGGCTATACATCGATCCGGAAAAAATTTCTAGTAAAGAATTAAAAAAATCTCAGCAGAATGTAAAATAGAATTGTAATATCGGTTAAAAATAGATCAATTCACTAAGATAAAATTCCCAATAGCAAATAAACTACTAAGTACCATACTAACCTGTCAAGAAGTATTCTACAGAATTCTAACTACAATAGAAATAGATCAGAATGGAATATATAATGTTTGATAACATAAAAATATATAAAATTCTGTAGAACTCTAAGCAAAATTTAAATGGATCAGAATGAGATATGTTGTCTTCTATGACACAATTCTACAGAATTCTAAGCAGAATGCTATTACCACGAAAGAATATAAACTTTGAATAGCCATACTATAATGTTATATGTCCAAGGGAAAAATAAAATTCTGATGAAGATTTTAAAAACATCGGTAGAATTTTAAAATAGAATATCAATTTTCAATAGCTATACTTGAATTCAATGGCATATCTGCAATAGAAAAAAAAAATCCTTCTGAAGAATTTTAAAATATTAGGAGAATTTGAAACAGAATGCTGTTACAACTGTCGGCATATAAGCTTTCAATAGGTATACTAGAATGGTATATCTCAAGTAGAAGAGAAAAACTCTTATGAAGCATTTATAAAATATCAGAAGAATTTAAAGCAGAGCTGTGATACCACTCAGACAATATAATCTTTCAATAAACATACTAGAATAGTATAGCTCGTAGAGAGAGGAAAAATTCTAATGAAGAATTTAAAAACACAATTCTGATACGAGTAACAGAATATAAACTTGCAATATGAATACTAGAATTCTACATCTCCTAATGAGGAAAGAACATTGTTTTTCATAGGACAGAATTCTCAGCAGAATTCAAACAGACTGGAACGAAAGATGTCATCTCTGATAATACAGAATTCTACGAAATTCTAAGTAGAATTCAAACAGACAAGAAATGAATATAACAATCAAATCGTTAAAAAAATATATAAGTCCACAAAATTTTGAATTCTGCTTGGTAGACATGCTGCAATTTCTGGCAAACTTCATCTGTTTTTTTTTCATAAGAATACACCAGAAGATGCAGCTTTTTCCAGGCTTTCTTCCCATATACAGGAGATTAAAAAATAAATGAATTTTAGTGATAAAAACGCAAGAAAACAAAAGGGAGAAAAATCAATTGAGGTGCACAGTATTTCTTCTAATTTTTGTCTGAATTCTTAACTTTTCCATAGAAATGTTAAAAAGATTGTTGAATCTATTCTTTATTCAAAATGTTCTACTATCTATGACAATATATTTCATTGATTATAAATTTAAGATTATTGTTCTGCAAACAATTATTTTCATGAATGTTAGAATTTCAAAAGATTAAAAATTAATTACAAGTATCTCTGTACTACTTGAGAATATCATTTTATTTTTGATCATTTAAGAGAAAATAAACTGTGAAACATACTTAAATATTCACGAAGATCATTCTTATCAATTGTATTAATAACAATAAGAACATAATCTTCTTTGATAATATATTAAAATTTGTAGAAAAGAATATTGTTAAGTTTGTTCTAATTCAATGCAAATCAATATATCTTATACATGCACAGATGATATTGAAAATGAGAATTTAATTAACAATGATTTCCTTGTGTAGTTTTTTCAGATTGATTCATCTTTCATCTATATAATCTATTAATTTAAGAAATTTTGATTTATATATAATGCTGTATTAATTTTTTTTTTTTTGGGTGTTTTAATAATGCACAGCAAGCTTTAGTGAAAAAAAACGAAATTTAAAAAGAATATCAATCGAAAGTATAAAAAAAAAAAAAGAAATATGATATTTCGATGTCATAAATTTATGTCAATCAAATCAAATAAATCTATATAATAAAACAAACAGTGAAAGATTAACTAAAATAAAATTGAAAAATTTTTGTATGTAAAAGTTTTGATAGAAAAATGTTTAATGATAATGTTTTTTTTTTTTCTTTTTCTATAATATTAAATAATTAGCTCAAATCACCATAGCAACTTTACTAGTCAATAGAAATTTAAATAGCAAGATGTTATATGATAATATTTCTAAAAGAAAAATAACCGAACATAGTGATTTTCAGGTTCCGGAGGCTAGTTTTTTTTAAACAATGTTATTCTAAAGAATACAAAATGAGATGTCACCGATTTCCAACAAATCTTCTGTGAAAGTATTTTGTAAAGATTTTCATGATACTTTTAACTTTTTAAGGAAACGTCGCGAACATCCGATGTTGAGTCTTATTCCTTCGCACACATTCAGTAGTGTCGCATTTTATCCTTGCGGTCATGTAGAACTTTGTTTTCATCGATATATTTCTTACTAAACTTCATCAAGTGCTATGTTATTAGATCCTTCTTGAACTTACTTACATCTACCAATACATTCTGAAAACAATCGCCTCACCAGATCGGATTATCGGAAATTCGCAAACTGGACTTTCGCCAGTATACCTCCTGTACTTTCGCTAATTGGCGAATTTCCAATAAGCTTTCTCGAACTTTAGTAGAACGGTAGTATTGATTAAAGATATTGATATCAACTATATTCTTAACTGTGTAACTTGAGATACATTTTTATAATGCTAGGTATCGTTCTTGTACATCACTTACGATATGAATGTTCCACTACCATTAATGAAAATCTATTCGAGTTTCGCCAATTGGCGAAAGTTCAGTAGACTATCGCCAATATATTCCTTGAAAATTCGCCAATTGGCGAAAGACCACTGAACTTTCGCCAATTATTGACGAAAGTCTTATGGGCGAAGTTCCGGAATCCCACCAGATCCATGCACTATGTTTTCTTTTATCAATTAGTTTTATAAGTAGATTAATCGATTACATCAATGTATTTTAACTTTTATATCTAATGATTCAAAGTCAGTTTAAAATCTTCTATCTCGATGTATAGATTTAGGGATGTACCGAGACTCTCGGTCAGTCTCGGTCTCGGTCGTCTCGGCCGAGACTCTCGGTCTCGGACAATCTCAGCCGAAAAGCTTAAAGAAATATAATTTCGCCCGAGACAGAGTAGCACACTTATCTATGATAAAGAAATGATCGAGATTAAGCATAATCGAGACCGGCACTACTCAATACCAAGGTTGAGGCAAGCCGAGACCGAGACGGACCGAGACTGAGACTGAGCCGAGACCGAGACGCACCGAGACCGAGCTCTCGGTCTCGGTACATCCCTATATAGATTTTTGATATTTGTTTAACTACTTTTTAAAATGACAAAAAAAACACATGCTTATTTTAGATGCACTATTAATATCAATTTGAAGATTTTTATTCATTTTTCTCATTGTGATTATTCTACTTCTTAGTTAATATCATAGATAAGTCTCGCCGTTGTTACTTTTCATGAGCTGTATTTAGAATATCAGTCAATTGATTTTATATGATTAAGCCCTAAAAATCAATTTCAATCATAAATAATCAAAAAAAAAAAGATTATATACTATCAGTACTCACCAATTATCTCAATCATAGGATGTTGTTCAAGCCAAGTATAATCATTATGATCGAATTCAGCCGCAAAACCTTTAACAAGAGTATATGTAGTTAAAACTTTAATGGTAGGATTGAGTTCATTATAGAATTTGGAAATGTCTGCATTCGATACTGAATCCTTGAACAGAACGATATATCCTAAAGGGATAAATAAAAATCATCGGATTCAGTTTAGATTAATATAAAATCTCATAAAATAAACTTACGATTATGTGTTTTATCCGTTTCTAATATAGTCGAAGACATAAATCTTATAAAAATTAATTGCTATAAAAAAAGAAAACTAAACTTGAATTAATTTTTAAAACAAATTTTAATAGACTAATAATTATCATTATATTCTCAAGGATTATAGACTCTAGAGTAATCTGTTGATATGTTAAAATTTCATATAAAAATCGAATTAATCTATCTTATAATGAATATGAAAAAGTTGTTTATATTTTTGTCATCCAATAAAGTAAAAAGTTCTTAATATCAAAAGTAATAAAAACGAAATTAAATGTATATATATATATATATTGTGTAGCAATAATTTTTATATATTTTAAAGGGAATAACCCAACGAAAACAAAAAATACAATAAATAGAAGTAATTTAAGTCACATGATTGATTCATTGATTATAGAGAGAAAGAACTAATGTACAGGTGAAAAAAATATGTTTTCTTTTACATGTGTCATAGGAAAATAACCTGATCTTATTTTTAATATAAACAAACTATTTGAGTCATACATTGATTTTGTCGATGACAACAAATATACGATTAAAAGAGAGAAAATTCGATTTATATTATTAAATCAAAACTACAATTCGACTAGTTAATATTAGAATTGTTGAATCTCCTAATATGCAATAGGTTTTATTTTTTTTTTTGACTAACAACAATAATCGATCAATTTATTATATTCAATTATAGAAATAAATGAAATAATTATAATATATAGAATTTCTTATATTCTAACATCCACACCTTTATTGTTTCATTCATTTTCTTCTAGTCTTTTGTTCATTGTGTACAGTAATTGTTTTTTTTTGATTTAAAAAGAATTAATAAAATATTTTGAAATGATTGAATATAAAACTGTAACAAATATCATGTTTGATTTTAAAACAAAAAAATCAGAATTTAAATTTATTTGAGTTTTCGATAAGATATACTTATCATTAGATAAATGTCAGTGTCTGTTAGCATTAAAATAAACATAGGTTTATAAATAACATAATTTGAGCTGCTTATACTTATATAAAGAAGATTATAAATTGAATTTAATTAGAGCTTTCTGAAATATCATTAAAAATAATCAAAGAAAAAGTTGATGAAGAAACTCTCAATATTTATAAAATAAATAACATAAATACAATGAATTTCATTGACTTTTTTTCTCGGTAATTTATGATGATTATACAAAGTGTTTTCGATCTTGAATATATGTTTTCTTTTTCAAAATTTCCTCGAAAATTCAAGAGATATGGATGATACATGGTATATGCATAATCATTTATATCTATGTTTGTCGCGTGTATTCATGGCCCAGGTCGACAAGTACGGGCCGGTTCCGTCCATGGTTGTCGATTGTTTTCAGGAGTGGGGGGGATAAAATTTTGGCAGAAAATGCTTCTATTCCTTCAAAAATAGTGAAAATTTCCCAGAAAATATTAAATATTTTTCGCAGAAAGTGTTAAAAATTTTGGCAGACAGCCTAGCATTTTAGGGAGGGAAAATCCCCCCCCCCCCGTCCCCCCCTAATCGGCAAGCCTGGTTTCGCCAGGAAAACAGCGAAAGTCGCCGGAACAGGGTAGCAGTATTCCGGTCGGAAAATTTTCGGACTTTTTCCAGTGACTTCTGGTCAAATTCCTCACGTTACTTGCAGAAAGTTGTTCAGAAGTCACCGGAAAAAATCCGAAAATTTTCCGGCAGGACTACTGCCACCCTGTTTCGGCGATTTCCTGCAGGTTACGGTGAATTTTTCTGCAAGATTCTGCGGGATCCGGTGACCGGAATCTTCGACCTGGGGAAATATCTTCTGTCTCTCGTATCTCCATATCTCATAAATCTCTTGTACTGATACTTAATTTCATTTCTGAAAATAGTCGAAAACAAGACATTGTACATTTCCTTCATTCATAGTTTATTGATAGAGAAATTTCATGAAGAATCGTTTGATAACAAAAATAATACGACTTCTGAAAGATCCAGATCTATTTTTTTTTTCTCAATTTGTGTAAGAGTGGCGACTGATGTGTATTTTCCCATAGTAAGACATTTCAAACTGAAACCTATGCAAATCGATTACCCATCTTAGAGCGATTTTCTCATAAAAGTTTCAGCTCGAATGATGAAGTTATGACATAAATATTGTTTCCATTGAGCATGAAAATTATAGAGTTCTAGTGTCATTATCATTTATTATCTTCTTAATAACTCGAAAATGGAAAAAAGAACAACATGAGTTTTTGATTGATTTTGAAAGTTTGTAGAATGAACTACAAAACTATTAGATATTTTTCGATTTTTTTTTTAAGAAATGGTCTTTATTAAATAAGATGATTGAAATTTTGTGTCAACACTATTTTCCCATTAGTCTGTAGATGATTTTCAGTTAAAAAAATTAACATATTTCAAAATCAAGATAAATAAATAAATTGACTTATATATTTTTTGTTCCTTGAAAAAATTTCGCTGTGAATTCTTTCAGGATCGAGTCAAAACATTATTTTAATTTTGTTTGTCTCGTACTGATGTTTTATAGACTCAGAATTTGTTTTTCATTAATCAATTAACTTTTACTAATTAGATTTATTGTTTTTGACTGTACCTCTCTAAGAGACCTAAACTGAAAGTTTTCTAATCAAAATTTGCTAAAAAAAAAACAAAACACAATTTATCTTTCTAAAAAAAAAAAATTAAATAGTATTTAATTTTATTGCACTTTCCTACAAGCTTTCCAGAATTATTCAAAAACGCAATATTGTTCTTTTTTGTAGATATTAAAATAATAGTAAAACAGAAATAGCAATATAACTATATGATTTTCATGCTCAGTTGAAATAAATATTCACATCATTACTTCAATCATTCAAGCTGAAATTTTCACTAAAGAAAAATTATAGAATACATAGTCTATTGATGAGTGAATGTATTATCCAAATTCGAAGATAAATTAAATATTTATGAAACGAAACTATCGCGTGATAAGTATTTAAATGTAAACAAAACGATAGTAGTAATATAAGTGCACTTTTTACTTTAAATAGAACAATAAATGAAGGCAAAGAGTACTTATTATATATATATATATATCATAAAAATGTTAGAATCAAGTAATCATGAAAGGAAATATGCGTAAAGAGTTCTAGATTTTCTTTTTTTTTTTTTGAATGAATTATTCTTGAAGAAAGAATCATATCAATAAATTATTATTTGATAACTGAATATTATTTAATACAAAAAAGAAGAAGAAGATTTTTTTTTTCCGTGTTTAGTAAATCATTATTCATTTCTATCAAATAAATATTTACATATTTGACCGTGAAAAAGAGTTTAGTTATAAACAATTTTCTATGATTTATTAATAAAATTATTTCCTATTACACTCATATGTCATTTGACAAATAAAAAAACATATCAAAAGTATAGAAATTCTCGAGGTAGTTTACATTAAAAAAAAGCTCTTGAGATAAATTATGCTAAATAAATATATAAAATAATTTAATGTGCTTATTTAAATATTTCATCCTATGTAGAAATATTATCATGCAAAAAAAAAAAAAAACTAATAAAAATTTAAATTTACATATTAGAAACTAAGTTAGTTGAAATAATATTCAATATTCTTTATCCTATAAATTCCGATACCTTCTATTAAGTAGTTCTTAGATTTCTATTAAATGATAAGTGATTGTCAAGTATCTTATACAAATATATTAAACAATTTCTGTAAGTCATTTATAAATCTTTTCTTGATCTATTGATAATATTTCGATAAGGTTTTTCATGTATATATAAAAAAAGAAAATGTAAAACTCGAATTATTCATAACAAATATTATAAACAGGCATAGAGTAAAAACGACATATTTAGCTTCCTTCTTTTTTTTCCTATTAAGTCTCTTGAAAATGCACTGTCTGTAGATATCATATAAGCACAATTCTTTGTTTTTTTGTTATAGCAGTGCAATAATGTAGCAACAAATTGAAAGCTGTCGTTTATTTAATAATGAATTATTTTGTCTTTATTTTTTTGCTTTATAATATGTTATTATACGTTTTATTTAACGCTACACATCAATAAATTTATGCGCATATGAATTTGGTTAATTTAACATAGAAAAGAGTTTTTTTTTTGCTCTGTTTTATATATTCAAGTGCATATATTATAAAGAGCATTGGTAGTCTTCAGAAAAACCTATAAAAAAAAAATATGTAATTTTTTATTCTTCTTCAATATTTATATTATCGAGGTATTTGCGATGTTAGAATTAAGATGGAAAACATGCAATTCCAGTAATCTAATACATCTTTCAGTAAAAAAAGAAGTGACCTATATTTTCCTTTCTTCTTTCCTTCTTATTTGCACTCGTTCAACTACTAGGGTTGTGCAAATAAGCATGCAAAAACGCATTAATAGTATTTGCCACTTCTCTCTAATAGTAAAACCATTTATAGCATGCATTAGAAAATGGGCGAATAGGAGATTTTTATCTTTCCTTTTTTCTTATTCTTTGACGTTCTCATAAAAAACTTCTCATTACATATCCTACATCTAGGAATAGAGATTTCTCTTATAAAGACACTTATACATTCAAGTAAGGATTAGGGTGACGACAGAGTTATAAAAGAAGAACGAGAGAAAAAGAAAAATAAAATGTTGGTCGTCATGGAGATTAGATGCAGTGTCGTGGAAAGAAAAAAAAAAGAGAAGAGTAAGCCGTACTCATTCTTATTCGACAATTGAGCGAAGCTTCGGGCAAAGGTCACATTTTGCACTGTGTCGCATTTTTCTATTTTTATATTCTTTCTCTTTTTGATATATATATATATGTGTTTTTTCTTTTTCTTTTTTATATCAAGAAAATATTAATTTCTAAAAATTATCCAATCATTATAAAGAATATGATAAAAAAAAAATAGGAAAAACATATTTATATATTCATTAATTCTCTATTTATTCTACTGAAACCTTGAAATATATTGTGAATTCACTAATGCATTCATTGGAGTAATAGTAAAAACGAGTTCAGTGCATTTGTTCTTTTTTTCTTCTTTTTTTTTTACTTTCTTTCTCTTTTTTGTTTGCTATTTGCATTTTATCATTATCATGCAAAGGTAAGCAAATGTAAATCACTGTAAAAAACAATACACACATTTACAAAAAAAGAATTTCTAGAAAACTGTGTCATAATACTTTTTATTTGATTTGTAAAGAGGAAAAAAAAAACAAAATTCAAATATAATTATTGATCGTAATTAAATATAAGTCATAACTGTTTCTTTTGACAGCAAGTTCAAATTCTTTTATTTTTAAATAATGCGCATATTGTGTTTTTCTTTCTCTACATCATCATGTCACTACAAATGCACTGGTTGACTACATAGAATAATTTATTCTTCTTCTTCTTTTTTTCCCTATTGAACAACATGATAAGCCATCTGTTATAAATTTCTTATGTTATTTTCTATTCTAGAATGCATCAAGTTCCAAATGAAACTATGAAGCGTATTCCAATACTACCACCATCATCATCATCATCATCATCATCAATGCCAGTTATGTCATCAACAAATAATCCATCAGCACAAGATCTTCTTTGGATAAGTAAACAACAACAACAACATCCATCAACATATGCACATCCATTGAAAAATACTATACGTGTTAATTCACGAGGTATACGTTATAAATTTGATGGTAAACAATGGCGACCATTATGTGTATCACCAGATGGATATGAATGTCGAAATTTAGCATTTCGTTCTTCACTGTGTCAAAAACATTTTTATAAAGTACATCTTTTTAAACGACCTTATGCTAAAACTAATTCAATATCATCACAATCATCATCATCATCTTCATCGTCATCATCTGGAATTCCTCCACTTACATTAAAACGTCCATTACCATCAGAATTTGAACAGCATCATCATTTTCAATCTCGTCATATAAATGAACAACAACATCATCATCATCAACAACAACAACAACAACAACAACATCAACCACCAAAACAACAAAATTCAATTAATGATGAACTTGAAGAAATATATGAAGATGATGATTCAATTGAAGTTATTGAAGATAATGATGTAAGCTAAGAAAAAAAATCTAAATAGTCACTTATTGTTTAATATTAAATAAAGTACTTAAGTAGAAGAATATTTTCTGAACATTATTAAAATATAGATCTAGGTCAATATTTCTATTATGTCAGTTCACTCTAATCTATTTATTAGAAATTATAAACTAATTCTATTTATAATCATTTTGATAATCTATATATAAGAATTTACTGTAAAATGAAATTTGATCTTAAATTTATACTTGGCAGTTGTTTTTTTTCTATTTGAAGAATAACATATCATTGAAATTTGTTTTAAATCATATTACTATTATTCTTTTGATAACTTTTTTTTAGGCAATAGTTAGCAAACAAGATACAAATCAATCTCATTCAGAATTTAGTTTTTTTTCTATTGATTGTGATCCTCAAATAAGTTCAGATACATCAATAACAAATCAAGTCAAACCAGAACCGGTATAATTAAAATAAATAAAAAATAAAATTTATTATTTTATTTTTTTTTTTTGTTAGTTAACAACAACATATACTAGTCGAACAGAAGGAATAACTAAACGATTAGATTCAACAAATACAGAATCTGTTATATCAAATGAATCTGAATCATCATCATCATCATCAATAAATATATCAATACCAAAAATTATGGAATCAATACGTCTTGGTATACCACCATTAACACGTACAGAAGAAAAATCTTTAACTAATGAATTAATTTTACAATTACCAGCTGATGCATCATTTACAACAGGCGAACAAATGGCACGTCGTCGTGCATGTGAAATTGTTTTTGATAATTATTCACATAAATTTTCATTAGAAAATATATCAATAGAATGGTTTTATGATTTTTTATTACGTAATCCACGTATACCAATACATTTTCAATCATGGTTTTCATCTATTAAATCAATATTACCATTATCAGATCAATTAATTGATATTAAAATATGGGAACTTGGACTTGTAACACGATCAATTTTACCTTCATCTTCAATTTCAACATCTTCATCATCTTCACCTTAAATATGCTTTTTGTCGTTTTGTTTTGTTTTTTTTTTTTACTGTGATTGTAAAAAATTTTCTTCTTTGTCTTTTTTCTTCTTTCTTTTTTTTTTTTATATATGTAAATTAAAAACAAATATCAAAAGTATTAATAAAATAAAAAAATTTATCGACAATGAAACAGACATATTTTTTCTTAATTTATCAAGATAATTTCTCACTGTTTCATGTACATCATCAATAGCTTTAACATTATCTGGATTTGAATAATTAGCACCACCAGCAGCAAAACCATGACGCATATTTGTATATGTTTTATATTCACATTGTTGACTTATATTAGGATTTGCTTGTTCAATTACACTTGATATATTTGGTTGTAATGGTGGATCATTACTAGCAGCAATAAATAACATTGGTCGTTGTAATTTTCTTACTTCATCTGGTGTTATTTGTGCACCATGTATTGATATACCTGTAAAAAATATTGTTGGTAAATTTGAACAAGCACGTACAACATGTAAACCACCCCAACAAAATCCAATTAAACCAATTTGTTTTATTGAATATTGTTTATCTAACCAATTAGCAACATTTTGAAGATCACTTGATAATCGAGTCCAATTACTAACAGTTTCTAACCATGAAGTTGTACTTCCATTTGTTGGTACTGATGTACCACGAAAAAAATCAGGCATAACAACATGAACAAAATATTCCGATGCAAGACGATCACAAAATACACGTGTTTGACTTGTATTAAAACCACGATTATCATACATAACAATTATTGCTAAATTACGATTAGATTTACCTATAGAATATATATTAAATTCACCCAATGGAATAATTTCACCTTTTGGATAAGTTTCATTCCATAATTGTGCATTTATTATTTTAGTAGCTAAAATATAAAGCAAAAAAAAAAACAAAGAATTATAAATAGAATTTATTTAGAATACATTAATTCCTACCTAAAATACTACTAAAAATAACGCATAGAGAGAATAGCTTTATCATTTTACTCGTACTTCAAGATAAATAACATGTATACTGTTACCTTCGTGCTTATTATATACTACTGATAAAATCTTTTATACATATAACCTATCGACCATAAAAAAGAGTAAGAAAGAAAAAGAAAAAATATATATTTAACTTATAATTTACTATTTTGTCAAGGTAAATGTAAGACTTATTTATCTGTAATCTATTATTATCTTGTGCTTATAAAATTGTCGAAATAAAAACTACGAAAAATCATAATCTTTAGAAAAAAAAAGTCAAGGTTTTTTTTTTTTTTCATGTAAAAGATTTATAATCATCATATATAATAGATATTGAAACTATTTGCATATATTGTATATGTGAAGAAGATAGGCAATATCTTCAATACTAGTAGATAAGAACAAAAAAAAAAAAAAGAATTTCTTCTACAAAGAATTTTTATGGACAAGAACAAATGATTTTACAATGTTTAATAATATTTAATAAATTTAATTTTTTTGATGAAATTTATTATAAAAATATGAAATTAAATTCTATGATTATAAGATTTAGTAATGCATTTAGTATCACATTAATCTTTATTTTATTTTTCATATAATTTTAGATTGATTCAATGAAAATTCAACTACTACAACATCTCTTATATTTCATTTTCATATTGACAATAAACGAAAAACCTTTTTTTTTTTGTTCATTCACTTGTTAACAGAAAAAACTAGTTAAATCACTTTAAAAAAAAATTGTAAATGTTACGGTTGTCATTCTTCACAAATTTTCAATTGTCGTTTCTAACGTTTTTTTTTTTTGCTTTTAATAAAAAATCCATGGTAAACGTGTTTATGTATATGTTAATGTTTGACAGACATTAACACAACACAAAAAAAAGAAAAAAAAAAGGTACAGAAGAATAAACATAAAAATTAGACAAAACAAAAAAATAATGGCAGCATCACGTATAAGTACTAGTACAACGCTAACATCAAGTAAAAATGAACGTCGTCAAGTGCAAGCACGTATACATGCACTTCAACAACGAACTAGTAAGGATTTATTTATAATAATTTAATGCTTGAATATAATAACATGAATTTGTCATTGTTTTTTTTTTGTTTTTGATTAGATGCTTTATATGAAGAATTATCACGTTCATCATCTGTAGCTAATACAGCTGTACATGATATTGAACAAACTTATATGATAATTACGAAAGAATTTCAAGAACAACGTGATCAATTATTAAGACGTATTCATCATATTAAACAAAATATTCAACAGTAAATTTATGAATATTGCAAAAAATTCTTAAAATAAATATTAGATTCAATTCAATTATATTCGAATAGAAAGTTGATAGAATATATTATCTTAAATTGAATAATTTTAGAATATTAAAAGTTTAGATTTTCAATATGTAGAGTCAATAAGTAAAAGTTTATTTTTATAATAGAACAGAATACTTTCAGCATAATCAGATATCTTCGAGTTCTTCATGACATTTTTTTTGTTGTTGAGCTAAATATAATTTACTCAATACCTCAAAAGATTATTTTATGATGAAAAAAAAATGACAGTAAAACGTTTATTTGGATCTTCCGGAAATTCACTGTAGCTCAGCAAAAAAAAACAAAATGTCATAAAGAGCTCGAAGACATCTGATATTACTAAAAAATATTCTGCTATCTCATTGCTAAAAATAAACTTTTATTATGCTATGGTGCATGTTGAAAAATCTAGGCTTTTAGTTTGATAGTAGCTATTTACAGCACTTATTACAAAAGTAAAAAAAAAAAAAAATGAATTCATACTCTTGATTAGATAATTTTGACGGTCATTCTATTTATAACAGTAATAAAATTATATTCATGTTTTGAAAACTATGTAAAAAGAAAAAAGTACTCTATAAAACCTTGTTATCTGATAATAAAATTATATGATTTAATAAGTTCATAAATTTTTTTAAATCGAAATAATATCTAGATGAAGAAAAAAAATAACTATTATCTATGTAGAAATTATTAAATATCAATGAAAATCATTCTTTGTTTACATATATTTATTAAAATTCGGAATTTTATGAAACATTCTTTAAATAACATAATTGATGAAATAAAGATCACATTCTATCTAATAATATTTTGTTCGAATAAAAAAAAAAAAATATTTTACAATATTTATTAGATTTAATTTTTCATAGATCAACAAATGAACTTGATGGTATACGTAAACATTTACATAAAACAGAATCATTTCAGGTACCACAAAGGTAAAAGAAAATAATTTTATTTTTTCTTTATAATACAAATATCTCAAAAAAAAACAAACTTTTATGTTAGTTCACGAAGACAATCAATTGAAATTGAAGCATATGAAATGAATGCTACAGTTGATGATATTGAACGTGTACTTAATAAAATAGCACAACAACTTAAACAGGTAGATATATATATATGTCTGAAATTCTAAATCAATTAATTGTCTAGTATCATTTTAAACCTTCACGTGGTTATACTATGAGTAGAACACTTGGTACAATACATGCTGATAAAGATATTAATCATAAAGAAATTGGAACAATAACAACAAAACCATCATTAAATCAATATAATCCATTAAATACTATATCAATTCATAAACTATATACAATAGATATAGATATATCTGCTAAATGGATTGTTTCATCAATAGAAGATCGAATATTTATATGTGATACTGAAGGTGAAGTACGTATTTTTTCATATTCTCGTCGTCGTCGTCGACAACCATTATTAACTGAACGTTTTCATTTATCCAATATACGTCTTGTTTCATCATTTACTGTTACATATGATTATTTAATTGCATTTGAAACAGATACACAAATGATTTCATTACATACACATCATGGTGCATTACTTATTCGTTTAAATTTTCCATATGATCCTATAATGATTGTTCGTTGTGATTATTTAACAAAAAATCAAATATGGTCATGTAGTCGTACAAAACGTCAATGTTTTCAATTTGATATAAATCATATAACAAAAGAAATAATACCTATTGAACAATTAGATTTTAAATATCCAATATCAAATATATTAATTGATCCTGTTGGTATATCAAGTGATGAACAAAATCGTATTGCTATACATGATGTTAATAGAACAACAACTGATCGTTTATTAATTTTTTCAAATGAACAAAATATGATTATACCACTTGATTCAATAAAATATGCTGATAGACAAATATCATCACAAATTGAACGTGTTTTATTAGTACCAAAACAACCAAATTTAATTGTTATACATTATGTACCACAATCAACAATAACTAATTTACATGAAATTGTTATTGTTGATATAGAATTACGACCAGCACAAATACTTTATCGTTTACAAGAACAAAATGGTATACAAAATATTGATGTTACATTAAATGGTGAATTAGTTTATAGTGTTACACCACCAGCAAATAAACGAATAATACCAAAAATGCATGTTTATAGTTTAATTAATTGATTAATTAGAATTAATATATTTTTTAGAAATCTAACAAAATATTAATGCAGGTTGTTTTTTTCACGCTTCTTTTTTTATAAAACATATTAAAATTAAATAAATTCTTGCAATTATTGTTTGGATCAATGATGTATATATCATTTTTCTATATTTTTGTAAAACTATGTTATATTAGTAAGTGCTTTTGTTCCTTTGGTGATTCATTCTACAAAATTAATATGGTAAAGAATGATATTAAACTGAAAAAGCTGTTAGCGTAATCCCTTGCGTGATTAAAAATGTGAAACACGATGGATCTATTGTTACTAATTAAATGGAAATCCTTTTGTTCCCTTTCTTTGCGACACATTTGTAGCTAATCGTTTATCTGTTGCTTTATAACTACAGTTTCTCTGTCACGGTCTGTGATGAGTACCAGAGTTCTCTATCACGGTCTGTGATGAATATGGGGATTCTGTCATGGTCTGTGATGGGTACCAGGGTTCTCTGTCACAGTCTATGATGGGTACCCGGGATTCTCTGTCACGGTCTGTGATGGGTACCCGGGATTCTTTATCATGGTCTGTGATGGGTACCAGGGTTCTCTGTCACGGTCTGTGATGGATAAACCCCCCACAAAATTGAACGCCACCCTATAATAGAAAGGCATCCGGAATAAAAGGCCACCCTGGACCGTTTGATTCTCTGGGCATAATATAATGCCATACCAATTTCAAGGAAAAATGTGAAAAAATTTCCGACAAGACATAATAGAACGCCACCCAAAAAAGATCGATTCACTGGGACATAATAGAAGGCCATGCCTTTTTATTCTGAGTGGAGTTTACCAGGGTTCTCTGTCACGGTCTGTGGGGAGGGGGGAGTGGGTGCAAATTTCTACCCCTAAGCACTTCAACACTCCTTTCAGATCGTGTTTCACAAAAGATTTAAGTTAATTGTACAATAAAAACAGTTGTTTCAATACATAAGAAAAAGCGAGAAATCTATTTCGCTTTCTTTTTCTCGATAAATATTTTTCTAATCATGAATCAAAGAATTGTCATAATAGATAATCTTTTTATTAAAAGTTTTTTTCGAGTTGTTAAAGTTGTCATCTTTTTTCTTTACATAAAAACTAAGAATTTAGAAAAAAACAAAGGACTCTGCCAAGTACAGTAGTCAACAAATAATTATGATTTCAATTTCTTCTCTAATTTGATTTACAGTACGTTTCAGCTCTTCAATCAGAGTTAATTTTGATTGAAATTTGTCTACGTCGTTCTTACGACAATAGTGTATATGTCGTTTGCCATCATCTTGTAGGAGATTTGAATATTTGGTTGTCATATTTCAATGCTACTGGCAAGATATCCTAGATTCATCTCTCATATGTAAAGGCGAAGTCTGTAATATTACTCTTTTGATCAACTTCGAAACGATTCACGATCAATGCATGATCATTTTGAACATTCAACAATTCATCTAGGTCAAGCATCTTTTCATCTGTCAACAGACTTCTCAAAGTCAATTTTGTTCAAAAAAAAACCGTGATGAAATCTATTTGTAAACTTTATTCTTTTGACTTTTTGATTGTCAGCAAGTAATGGTTCAATCCTTTTCTTATACGACCGATATCCTGGATAAATTTCGAATATTCGTTAAATATGATTTTGGAAAACTTAAGTTTAACAACCAATTTTTTTGGTGATACTCTTTTCTTTCATGGAAAACAGTCCTTCAGTTTTTGAATAGTATTTTTCTTTTGAGTAATACAGAGACTAGCTGAATCATTTAAGTTGTGAAATATATTTGTGATTGTTTCGCCATTTTCATGTTTTGAAAAGTCACTAGTTTTTGAAGCTTTTTACTTTCTATAATCTAAAATTTTCTCATGAAGAGATTTAGAAAAGATTGAAAGACGCATTTTTTTGAAAAAAAAATTGAAACAATAACTCAAAAACTAAATGAAAAACATCCGAAATACTGAGATGTCATTATTTCTGACTCATCTATTGGTTCTACATAAATCTATAATACAACTAAACATTAATAATTCATTTAATTTCTAATCGTGAAATAGTGATAGATGGTAAATATTTGTTATTTATGAATATTCACCTTTGAATATTTTGATATTTATTCAATTTTAATTATTATAACCAAAAGTATTCTTAAGTTTGAGAAAAAAAGAAACAGCAAAATCGATCACTCGTCGAAAAAGAAAATAATTCCACATCTTGTAACACGTTGATGAATGATGAATTAAACAAGTACGAAAAATACTTTGTATAAAAGATAAGAAGTTATCCTATTCAAGAATAAAAAAACAAAAGTTCAAATAAAAGATATCGAAAACTCTATTGTAAATAAGATTGTTGTTGCTCAATGCTTTTATCTCGTGATGAATAATTAATTGTATCGTTTCTGATATTTTTATCGAAGCATAAGTAGCTATAAATGTTGCTACAGAATAAATACATCTTGTAACGATTTTTCATAAGGTTTTATATCCATATCACATGAATTTGCTTGCATCGTTATTGAGTTTTTCTCATTCTTATCCAATATTAATACTCGATTGTTATATCTATGTACTCATGTTAATCATAGTTTAAATGTCACGTTTACATCTAGTTAAAAGCAATACGTAGGTGATAATGCATGTCATTACAAGCAATTATTAAATATCATTAATAAATGTTCTATATGCATTTGTTTATAGTTCAACATTTTTAGGAAACACATGTTCCCAAGTGTGATTGGCCAATCGAATTAATATTTTGCTTATTTACTAGGCCCTAACGAGACTAGTCGAAGTCTATAACAACCCATGCTCTTGCTTGGTTATTACAATTAGGCTGAATATATTATTTTTGACAAGATTTTTGTGAAAAAATCGAGGTATAGAATATGTAATAAAATTTTAATAACTTAGTAAAGACAACGAACCGAAACGAATAATTATAGACTTTTACTAGTCTTGTCGGGGTCATACTAATGAACATTAGAGATTCATACTAGGAAATATTTTGTCATAGAACAACTACAGTGAAATCTCTCTCTATTGAACACATTTTTGCTGATCTTTCGAATTGTTTTCAAATCAATCCTTTCATAGTTTATTGTTATCTAATTTTAAAGCATCTATCTATCTTTTCGCCATTGGTCTCAACATTGAACAGTCAAATATTCAGAAATATAAAAATCTAACAAAAAGATAATAGAGTTTTCAGAACAAAAAGTTAAAATTTGTAGTCTCCTTAGTTGTCCTTTTCTAGGTGTGTTTTTTTTTCTCCAGGGTTTATGACATTTCTTCACCTATGAATACATCATTATGCGTTGTGCTCTGTAATAGACGGATAATCACAAGATGATAGATCATGAATTGATAAAGAAAATATTTAAAAAAAGAATAGATTAAAAATTGCTTTACTTATATTCTACTATGTATTACTTAGATAACAATGTCTTTTTTTTTTTTTTTTTGTTTCGAAAGAGTTTTTAATTGTTTAATATTTAATTGAGATAGACACTTACTATACAGAGTATAATTCTACTTTTTCATGTTTTCTCTCATGTGTATTATTAAACAATGTCATGTTTAAAATTATGAATAGACATCACGCAATGTTATTTTGATTAATTTATCTAGCACAATGTTATTCTTATTTTTCATCATCATTATTATCTTTTTCTTTAAGTAGGTATGCATTTTGTTTATATTTTATTAACAAAATAATTTTATAAATTTTCTATAAAAATAAAAATTCATTGAAAAATAAAAAAGATTTCAATTTGTTTGATAATCAATTGTCATATCTATTTTATAAATTCAAATTGCAGTTGATTCAATTTTACTAGGTCAATATACAGTTGAATTTCTTCTATATTTACCTATAAAATAAAAACACATATGATAATTTGAATAAATAAAATTGTATTGATTATGAAAATGAATATATTTTACAATAGAAGATGAGACATCAGTGATTGAGTACAGCATCTAATGTCTTGTAGTATTGTCAATAGTTTTGTGCAAGTAATTATGTTCTAGTATTCTAACGTCTGATTGTTGTCATAGGATTGACATTATCGTAGGCATGTTCATCATTTGTAAATGTTTATAAAGTTTAAATATTTAGTTTGCTTTTAAAATAATTAAGTATGTGTTTTTTTTGTGCTTCATGCGTAGCTTAATACTATTATCAGTCATCTGTTAATGTTTTGATGAATTTGGAGACTAATTTGTGTTCTTTACTTTTTATAGTCACTGAATATTTGTCATATGGTATATAGTTTTCTTATTTGACGACTTATTACTTTAGTTAGAATTCTTCTCTAGTAGTATTAACAAATAAGTATAGAATAAAGAAAAAAAATTTTTTTTTTACTAAAAATAAACTTTAATTTTAATCTATATAAATTCAATTAAATTTGAATATAATTCGAAGTTTATATTTAATAAAAATCCTTTTTATCAATATTCTTTATATATCCTTTAGTTTTTATATATGTGTTGTCATCAAAATATTTCATAGAAAAAAATTTCTTCGCTTGTCAATTGTATTTTTTCTAGTTCTATATGCGAATGAAATCCGATTAGTACTCAGTCTTTATCTCAATTCGCCAACTCATCTACATCTTTTCTCATTTGATATTTTCTACTCAAAGAATCGAATGCATACTGTATGTAAAGACTATGCAGGATGAATGAACAAATGCATACGTTCCTAATTGCCAGGAGATTCCTTTTCATCGGAAAAAGAAAACACATGCAATACTCAACATCATCTCATGTAAAAAGGACAAGCAAAAAAAAAAAGAAGAACGGAACAAGAACGATCATTTTCGCTACTTGTCGCTTTTCTTTTCTGATCTGAAATAGATGAAAAAAAAAGAAAGAAAAGGAGAGAACAATGACAAACGACATGCATATGTAAGTTTGCTTTTCTAGTATCGGTAATAAGAGAATCGATACCTTTTGGTTTAAAACCACTTCTTATTTCTTATAATGTTTTAATTAAAAAAAAAGAACGATCGGAAAATCTTCTATTTTATTCAATATTATTGTTCTTATCCCTTTTTTTTTTATTCAATATTTTCTGTTTATTTCAATGTTCTAATTATATATAACATCTTACTCGTTTTTTTTTTTTTTATGTCAGACTATTCTTTAGATTAACTAAGATTATTGTAAATATTTGTTAAAATATAATTAACTTGCGAATTATTATTCCTTAGGTAGGAACAATAAAAGAACGAATATGATCTTATTTCTTTCTTTTTTTCTCATATGTGAATATATATTGTCTAACATCTCAATTATTTTTGACAGAATGCAAAAAAAAAAATAATAATAATAGTAATTCTAAGTAAGACCTCGAGACATTTTGTGTTCATGTATATGTTGCTATCAAAAAGAAAAAAAAAAAGAAAGATATTAATAATATTGTCTACATCACGTTCCTGTTTTTTTTCTTTCTTTCTTTTGTTTTTTTGTTCATATTAATGAACTATATTAGAAACTCATTCTTTTTTTTTTTTGTTTTTCTATTATAAATCGAATTTGACTTTCTTCATTTCCTTTTCTGTTTCTGAGTTTTCTAATTTTTACATGATTTTATTTTATTTGATGTTTTGTATTGATAGATGAATATGACAATGGTAGCAACGATAATATAAATTAATATTAGTAAAAATCGCAATGAAGAACAACAACAACAACAACAACAACATAATAAATAATGTACTCATTCAATTATACAAACAATTCTCGAGCTTTTTCATCATTAAATATAATAACAACATCATCTATTGATCGTCTATTAAATAAAAGTAAATATCAAAAACGACAACAAAATACAACGATTACATATACAACTACTTCATTTATTTCAAATATTACTTCACTTTCATCGTCTACAATACAATATCAACAATCATCATTTGACGAACCCTATTCAGTTAAAACAGGCATTAAAATAGCAGCACTTCTTGGTGGTATGTTATTTATAATAGAAAATTAACTATTAAGAAAAACAAAATTCATAACTTTTTAATATAAATTTAAGAATTAGAAGTAGCTAGTTCTATGAGAGAGTTTTTTTTTTGTTCTTTTGCTTCATTGTTATAATATTTTTTTTTATCTATTATATTCAAACAATAGTATTGTAAAAAAGAAAAAAAATATCAATATGAAATAAGAGGAAATATTTAATAAATAGTTAATAAGAGTATTTCTTTCTTTCTTTCTAAAGAATTTATGAATGAATAGTATTATTAAAAAATAGATTCATATGAATGTATATATATATATATATTTGATCGACTACAAGTACTGTTTAGATCGATGAGTAGTCAAATGCTTCCGAAGCTAATAATAAATGTGTTAAAAACCATTATTTATTCATACAAGCGGAAAGCCTATATTAAAAAAAAATGATATTTTAAATCTTAGCTGACGAAAAAACATCCTTTAAGAGATTAATTACTTTTGACTTAGGATGACATGCATCATATAGATTCTGATAAGTAACTGAAAAAGAGCACATCAAAATATATGAAACTTGCTCAAATCAACTATTAAGACTTGTCTGAAGTCAAAATTCAAAAAAATGAGTTTTCCTAATGTTTCTCTAATCGACTACGGCAGTCACTACTCTCAGTTTTCGATATATGATTACTCGATTGAAGGACGCATATATTCTAAATAATTATGTTCAATAGTAAAACAAATTTAGTTATCTATCATTGATTATTTTAGCGAATTTGAAAAAAAAAAGTAAAAAACACGATTTTTTTATTTTTGAGAAAAATATAATTTTACATATGAATAAAGTTCTTTGACAATCTTAAATTGATGTTGAATTTTAGCTTATTATAATATTTAATTTAATAAAAACTTTATAATAATAGAGAATTTCAAAATTGTTTAAGAATAAATCTTATAGGATTAATTTAAAAAATAATTCCTCATTAACTAGTATTAAGTTAGAAAATAAATTCTTATTTATTACTCATTATCTTTAAATGATTTGAACGAACATTGAATAAATATATTATAGAAAAAAACAAAAGAATTCTTTCTTTTTTTTGTTTATTATTTCTATTTAGGTATGTTATTATTCGTTATTATTTATTTAATTTGGAAAGCTCGTCGACGTTTATATCATTTTTTATCATTATCAAGATCAAATATTAATAATCCACGTTTATCAGCAAATAAATTTGATTTAGATTATTGGTTAAAACAAGTTGATCTACTTGAAGCTAAAGAAATTGAACGTAATCGTGGTGATCTATCACCTTATCTTGAATTACCAACTGAAGAACCACGTGATAATCAATTAGCAACAGCTTCATGGATTATTGATGCATGTCATCAATGGCGTCTTATACAATATCGACAACAACATCAATTATTACAACAAACAACAAATCAACAAACTGAATCAAATATAATTCCATATAGACGACGTCGACATATATTACGTCGATTTATTCGACGTCTTCTTATACCAGCACATCAACATCCATCATATTTAGATCAACATTTATCATCATTAATTGCTGATTTAAGACCAAGTATAGTTAATAATAATTTAATTCCACCATTAGATACATTAAATATTCCACCAAGACGAGTTGTTTCATGGCCTCGTCTTAAATCAACTCATCATCAAAATGGTACAATGATGAGTACATTAGAAGCACAAAATGCTAGAAAACATCTACTTAAACATATAACACAAACTAATACATTAAATAAATATGAAAAAAAATTTTAATATTCATATTTCTTTTTATTTGTTGTAATATGAAAATAATGATAGAATTAAATTTAGTTTTTATGTTCGAAAAATATAATTTTCATAATCAAAATTTTTCATTAATAATATATAAATCCATGTAAAATCAGGCCATAAAGATGTATTATTACCTTTAGCATCTTGATACCATGAATGACAACCTCCTTTTTGCCATACTGTTCTTTTTAAACGTAATTGTATATCTTGATTATATTTTTCATGTACATCTTGTTTTATATTAATAGAACGTATATTATTTTTATTCATATAAAAAAATGCTTCAGCTATATAATTTATTTGTGATTCAATCATAATTACAACAGAACTATGACCAAGTGTTGTATTTGGACCAAGAAGAATAAACAAATTTGGAAAATTAGGTACAGTTACACCACGATATGCCTATTTAATATAAATTTATATGTATATATATATATCTCAAATTCATATTAAATATACTAACTTGTATTGTTTCTGACCATTGTTTTGCTAATGAACAACCATTAATACCATAAATAGGTAATGGAAGTTCTTGTGTTTGAAAACCTGTTGACCAAATAATAATATCAACTGGATATTCATCTCCATTTTGAGTAACAATTGAATGTGATTTAATTTCTTGTATACGATTAGTAACAAGTTTTACATTTGATTTTTGTAATGTTGAATACCAATCATTAGTTATTAACATACGTTTACATCCAAATTCCCATGTTGGTGTTAATTTTTTTCGTAATTCTATATCTTTAACTTGTCTTTCAAGATTATATTTAACTAATTTATCAATTATAAATTTTAATGACCAACGATAAGCAAATGCAAGTGCAAGAGTTTCCATTATCCAATAAAAAATACCACGAATAATTTTTTGAATAATTGGAAAATATTGAAATAAATTTTTTTCCCAATCAGTTATTAAACGATCAAATCGAGGTATTATCCATGGTGGTGTTCGTTGAAAAATAAGTAATTCTGATACATTCATTTGTTGAATTTCTGGAATAACTTGAATAGCACTTGCACCTGTACCAATAACAGCTATA